AGTTCATGGGTTAATTTAAAGAAACCTGTGCAGTAAATTCTTGCCGTGTGCTGCAATTTTCATGTGATCCGGCCCAACCATCTGGGCTGCTATATGCATGGAGTTTGCATATTTTTCCCATGTTCATGTTGGTTTCCTCTGGGTGGTCCGGTTTTCTCACCAAAAAATACTGGTATTTTAATTGGCTTCTGGGAAAATCTGTCCTTGGGTGAGAGTGTGTGTGTCAAAATAAGTGTGTGTGTCAAAAATGCACTTTCTGTTAAGGTAAAGCTGTTCCGTTTAAGGAAGCACGAAAAAACGTCAAAAAAGAGTTAGGAAAGCTAAACGTATGTACAGTATAAGGCAACAGTATTAATACATGTGGTAAATCTGACGCTGACTTTGCTGATTTTTATGGGGGTGGGGTTATACTGCAAAGCCTTCTTCTAATAGAGCATAAGTTCTGTTTGCCTTCACTTTCAGTGCCCTCACTGCCAAGTTAAAACTCCCAGATATACTGATTATCAATCCAAGGTGTGTGTAGCTGGTTGTGTGATCTAATGTGTTATTGTTCAGAGTGAACTGGTACCAGTTTCCCTAAGATCTGCCTTTCTTATGGAAAACAATGACTCTGGTCTTGTCCAGATTGACTGTCACTGCCCATGTCAGTCAATACTGCCCCACTACTGCCTTGGTGCGACAGCAGAACCAAATTATCAGCATAGAGCAGGAATTTTTGTGTTGTGTAGTGTGAGGCCAGGTGCTGCAGATTGTGCCCACATCTCATTGACATAGATATTGAACAGTGCTGTTTCACCCCACCACCCTAAGTGGCAAATGTTATTCTTTTATTTTCCGATTCTCTCCCATTCTCTGAGTACATTGACTTATTTATATCATAAACTTTACCTCCTACAGCACTTTAAAGAAGTTTTAAAAAGTCCTTTGTGCCATTTTGGACTAAATGCTTCTCTTAAATCAATAAAGCAGGCAAAAGTTTTTTTTTTAGTGGACATGTTTGTTTATGAGTATAAGTATGTGGATCCCAAGATGTTTATATACTGTATATTATTGGCATGATCACATGTGAGTCTTAGTAAGGTAGGTAATAAAATGATTACTAACATTTGGTGTTGTACTCAAGAATTATAAAGTAAGATGTTGATGAGCTGTGTAGATATTCAACTGTGCTCCTGTCTTGTTGTCTACAGGATGCATAAGTGTGGACTTACAAAGAGATGCTGCAAATATCTTTCATCGGCTCTTCAGTCTCAACACTGCAGTCTAAGACAACTGAATCTGAGTTACAATAAACTGGTAGATACAGGAGTGAAACTGTTGTCTTCAGCCCTGATGGATCCCAGATGTAAATTACAGTCACTGGGGTAAGTGTCACGCCCGGTACACCTAGAGGGCACTGCTCTTTTGTCCTGTTCCTAGTTCCCAGTGATTATTAATGCCTTTCTGGTGTGTCTTCTTGTTGAGCCTATTTACTTCCTGGTTCTGCTCTGCTACTGGCTTAGCATTGAGGGTTCGGATGTCTTGAGACCCGCCTAGCACCAGGTTGCCTCCTCCGCGGCCTGAGAGCATAGGTTTCTACCCGACATCATCTGACCTTCTGACCCTGGGTTAATCCCAGTTTCGCCGCTACGCATAGGTTTTTGCTCTCCTGCCATTCCACGGCTTGCCCTTCCGACATCCATAACAGTAAGTAGTAATAATAATAATCATCATCATCATCGTATACTGTAGTTCTTTTCTGGACACTCCACTTAACGCACCTGACAGGTAATAGGGACTCCCCTCCACCTCCACCAGTGTGCTGCACCCACCTGGATGATGCGACTGCAGCCAGAGTGCACCTGTCACGATGCAGAAGACACGATCCGGAATTGTGAGGATACAATAGGAAAAATAGTCATGCAGGAGAAGGGTCTGGAGACGGGGGGTGTGTCCGAGGAGCGCAGGTGTCCAGGGGGAGTGAATCCAAGGCGAACAATCCAAGGGTATATCCAAAGGGGGAATCCAAAACGGGAGGTTGAATCCAAGGCCAGGGGATCCATCCGAAGTAATTAAAAACAAGAACTGGGTCGGGACCGGCTGACAGGAAATCAGGAAAAAGAAACTAAAACCATGAAGGAGCCAGACGCGGCAGGATCCCGGGCTCTCACGAAGCAGGATTCAATGAGAAGCCTCGGGCAAACGCCTGCGTCTGGCTTTAAAGGTGGAACTAGAGAGGGGTTTGAATAAGGAACAGGTGTAAGCAATGGGGAAAACAAGGAAGGGCTGGAGCACCCTTAAGAGGGGGAGTAGCGATCGTGACAACACCAGTATTCTCACTGTGCTGAGTAAGCTCTCATTGGGGAGGAGTGATGAAGCGAATTCATTAGGAATCTATGAATGGTAAAGGCCAGGGGGAAATTTGGCCAGGACCCTGGGGTTAGCACCCCTACTTTTTCGTGAAATGCCCTGGAATTTTTAATGGCCACAGAGAGTCATGACCTCTGTTTTAAATCTCATCTGAAGGACAGTACCTTTTTTACTGTGTAGCATCCCCATCACTATACTGGGGTGTTAAGACCCACAAAGACAGCAGGGTGAGCACTTTCTATTGGTCACACCAACACGTCTTCCAGCAGCAACCTTAGCTTTCCCAGGAGGTCTCCCATCTGGGTACTGGCCAGGCTCACATCTGCTTAAGTGGGTTGCCAGTTGTAAGCTGCAGGGAGATAATAACTGCTGGTTAAGAGAACAATGAGTGACTTCTCTGGGGTTGTATCCTTGAAAAGAACAGATTTTAACCCACCTAAACATTAAACCTACAGAGGACCCACACAATGTCTGCCAGTGGCAGTTATACCCTCAGCCATTCTCATTGGGAGTAATGTTAGGAGGTTATTTCAATGGGTAAATTATAGTGTCAATAAATTATCATTTTAATAGACATTGAGTGGCCAGACACATTGGCCTCAGTTTCAGACCTTCTCCCTATTGCCAAAGGCCATGTAAGATATACTGTATAAAGGTTTTAACCCTGATGTAGTTTTGTTCCTGTGGCCTAAATGGTAAATTGTGAAGTTAGTACAGTACATTGTACTATGAGCAAATTGATCATTAATGTGTTATGATGAGGTTGAACATTAGGAATACTTACGCAATTATTGTAATAATTGTAATTAGTTATAAAATCAGGAAATAGGGACTCATCAAACTAAATAAGATAAATATTGATGTAACAGAAAGAATAAGGTTTTGGATCCTGAGATGAAGTTAAACAGATGAGTTTCTTGCATGCAAGGAACAATAAAGCCGAAGTCTTGTTTCCCGCAAGAAACAACAAAACCGAAGTATTGTTCAAAGTGCTGGTACAAACTTTACGTTTATATAGTCCTTCCTTGCTGCACTGATTTGTCATTCGTTATTATGGTAAAGGGGAGAGGTCACGTGTCTGGCCAGTTTACAGCTTTTTGGCCAAATGGTCAAGGATTAAGTCCACAGGGGGTTCCCTAGCTCTCCTAGCTCGCATCTGGAATCCTTATCAGTTAACCCCCTTCCTGCCATAAACTCCAGCCTTAGAAGTCTAATCTTCATGCAGAAAGGACTTAAAATTAACCCGTCTTCACATCTTACTTCAATATAAACAATCAAATCTGAATAAGGTGCTGATACAGCTTGCACATTTAAGGATTTGCAATAATTTAATGGTGCCAAAAATTTTGGGAGGGATGATGGCAGCCATTTTCAATCAGATGCAACTGTCAGTAATTCACAGTCACTCTCGATTTAATTTCCTCTTCTAAAATACTGGAAATACTGAATGTGATCCACTTCTCTCCCTCACATACATCTTTCACATCCCTCCTCCAGCCCATCTCCACCTCTGCAGCTGCCCCTTGGTCACTCCTCACTCTGTCAAGAGATTAGCCAACAGACAAGTGGATGAAGCCACATTTTGTCTAAAACACTCCATAGTCTTTTCAGTACACTTGATACTTGCCCATTGTTATTCCTGAAGAGATACCATAAAGATAGGGTTAACTGAGTGTGTTACTTATTCTGTTCCTCAGCGTTATAATGAAGTACAATTCAGACCATATACTTAACATCAAACAAAATACTGTATTAAGGAACAAGTAATAGGTTCATTCCATGCTGAAAAGAGAAGAGAGAAAGTACAACGTTTCGAAAGAAGGCTTCACAGACAAAATGTTGTGTTTTCTCTCTCCTCTTTTCAGCATGGAATAAACCTATTACTTGTTCTTTTGCAGACTACGCATGCTGATGCAGCCACCCACCTAAACTAAATAACATATTATACATGTACTGTAGCAATGTGAGGATTGATTTGAACAATTAGAAAGTGGAACAGTAAGTTGTGAGAGTGTTATGATGGAGTCAATCAAGCACAATAACATGTAGATGCACAATCAAATTCTAATCATATACTGTAATATATGATTTATTAACACAATACCAAACCACCTGCTGTAATAATATGTTTGTGAATTCATCATATGAGACACGTTTGATCATTCACTTATGGATTACATTTAAAATTATGTAATTGATATAATTATCTCAGAAATATATAATATATAAGAATAGAGACAACACAGTTGTGCAGCAGTTAGCACTGCCCTGGGGCCCTGTAGTGCTGTCTGAATGGAGTTTACATGTTCACCCTATGGTCACTTGGACCCCATTGGGTGCTCTGGTTTTCTCCCACAGTCTAAAGACATGCAGATGGGTGCATGTTTGTATCTGTGTATGCACTGCCATTCACCCATTGCTTGCCAGGATAGGTTCCAGCACCTAGACAAGTAGAAGAACAGTTACAGTCACAAGAGTTAACTAACGTTGGGTAAGGAAGTAAGATCTGAACAAAATAGTCAATAGAGATCATTCCTTCCCTTCCTCTTTCAACTAGAGCTGTAGGGTCAATTTGGAGTGATCCCTCTGTCTCTTGGGCTGTGACATGCTGTGTCCCTTACTCTTTCCCCTCTCTTATTCTTAGTTGTACTGAAATTTTGGAAAGAGTTGTGGATAAGCTGTGCAGATGTTCTGCAACTATTTATTTATATCTGCAGGATGGAGAAATGTGAACTAACTGAAAGATGTTGTGAAGATCTGGCCTCTGTTCTGATGTCACAGAAGTCTAATCTAAGATGGGTGTATCTATGTGGGAACAACCTGGGGGAATCAGGAATGAAACTGCTGTCTATAGCTCAAAGAAGTCACTACAACAAGGTTTGACAATTTATTTTGTGACTTTATGCTAATAATCTTTATCATCTATTTTTTCTCATTATTTAATTTTCTTTCTTTTCACAGTTGTGTCACTGTGACTGTCCTCTCTCTGCCTTTTCACAACTTTATCGCATACAGTGGGCTCAATAATTATTGGCACCCTAAATTAAGATGAACAAAAAAAAACTGTATAAAATAAACAACACAGATAATGACCTATATTTGATTCCCCCTAAAAATGTTAAAACTGCAGGCTTTTATTTTAATACAATTATTTCAAAACAAATGTTTTTAAAATAGTTAACCAGAAACATAGGTCTCAAAATCATTGGGTCATTTTCCTCTAACATGTTTAATAAGGTTAAAGAACACATTGGGAGAGAAGCTATTCTGATTCTGGCTGATGTGTGAATTCTGGGATTTTAGTGTAACAACTCTGCACTTACCAGGTAGCGTGCAGCTTTCTGTTTCAGTGAAGTGAACCCAAGTGCAGGCAGAGACAGACAGGCTGAAAAACCTGTCAGGTAAGGTGAGAGAAGCACAGTCAAAAGCCATGGTCAGAAAAAAGCAAAGTTCAAGCCAGGAAGTCACATATCAGAGGCACACAATGGATATCCAAGGGCAAAGTCAAGGTAAAAAGCTGGGTTCAAGGCACAAGAGAATATAATAAAACACTAGGTGATCCAGAACGCAGTCAAGAAAGCAAGTGAAGTAAAGCCAGGAGATCCAAACAGGTGCGCAAACCAGCACTTTCTCAGGAGC